TGCAGCAGAGAACTTTGTGTCACATGCACAATGCTTCTCCCATTCTGAACACTTGGCCACTTATCCTCTTATGTTAAAGAGGAACTCAAAAAGCCACTCCATTTCTCAGTGACTGAATTGTATGACAGAATGTGCCAAAAAAATATTCTGATGCCCTCTATTTCTTTCTCTAGGCAGGTTTACATAGTCTAACAAACTTAGTAGGGTTTTAACCTTGTACACCAAGTTCTAAATTTAATTAGGGTATGCCTGCAGTGATAATGCAACGGAGAACTGAATCAAATTCATGCAAGCCACACAAGCATCCCCTCTCCCCAGAGCTAAAGCAAATATAAGCATATGCATCGCTGCCCTCATCTGAGATTTATAAGAGAAACCATTTTTAGCCATAAACATTTGGTTGCAGGAAGCAATCTTATAGGGAACTGCCACCAGGGCCTCTGAGACAGATCACAAGGGTATGCATGATGGCTTTATTTTTAATTGACTCCAACAGCCCAGACGGGGAATACCAGAACTCCAGATGACAAAACTCGTCATGCTAGAAAACAAAAGCCAAAAGTGATAAGGAGGTTTTTTTAGTGTTAACAAACCCAGGTTTCAGGTTAAATATTAACAAATCCAGTCTTAAAACAAGGCAAGAAAGATAAAAGGGTGCCATCCTTTTTTGTAAATTTGTAACTTGGGTGCCATGACTGCTTCAGTAACCTGGAACCTCTAACCAGAATAATGCTTTTGAAGAGATACCTCAGTGGTAGTGCACTTGCCCAGCATGTGGAAAGCCTGGGTTTAATCCCCAGCTCTGCAAACATAAATAAATATGACAAAATTGCAGAATCATGTTTTTTAATGTCTTTTGAGTAGAATATAACAAAGAAAATGAATTCATATTGAAACACCGACATCAAAATACTTGAAAAGCAATGTTGGGATAGTAATGGATGCTTCTCAACACAAATAAGAGAGCAGCAGGCCTAATAATTACAACTGCTTTTAAAGCAACAATGGGTATGACTGTTCAAACTCTCTCCAACAATGTGATACAAAAGTCTGTAATTTCTATATGTCAAAGTGACGGGTGCCGATGTTATGTGTTACGTGTTTTTATTGACCACATTTTGGCTAGAGGTTAGTGGAAATAAAGTTGCGATTTCTTCTGTTGTTATTTCATCTACCCAAGAGCACAGAATACTTCCCACCCAGTCTAATCAATAACCTCAAAGGTCAAGGACTCTATCCCAGACCATCAGGCTTAAGACTCAGGTACTAAGAGCTCAGCTACCATTCTCCAGTAATGGTCGCTCTCCCATTTTTGGAGCCCCTGAAATCCAGAAAACAAAACAGTCATTGATAGATTGGCACACTTCAACAGGATCAGGTATTCCTCATATGCAACATGGCTAGCAATTAAATTTCAATTCCCATGATTAGTTTTCAAAGTAGTCTGTAAAAGGTCTATCTAACAAGAACATCCATCACCACCAAGATACTAACTCATCTGTGATAATCAGGCCTGGCACTGCAGGAGAAAGGCTCCTGGAAACTTACATTGTAAGACAACATACAAAAACGAGAAAGCCACATCTCATATTTGGGACAAGAGTATTTTAAACACACCATTGGTTTTAATGCTTTCTTGGTGCACTCCCCTTTTCAAACCTATTTATGGCCTGGCAACTACAGTCTCAGTTAAATGAGTCAGGCTTCCTTCACAGTGAGGTTGGTACCTGAGGCACCACCTCTCCAGCCCGCTGCCTCATACAACAGGCCATTCCCCAGCTGTACACCCTCAATCAGGGGATTCCCACAGGAAGATAAATATAATTTAGTCTAAAATACATGGACTTACATTGGGCCGGCGCCAATTTCTCATGGATCTCGGGTAACTGAGATGGTTTTTGTTCGCATGGTTAGAAACTACAGCAGCAGCTGCAGGAGCACAATTCTTTTTCTAGACTAATAAAATTACCTAAGTCTGGCTCATGATTTCAGCTGTGGCAGCAGCCCAACTTCCCAGAAAGATGCAAGCCTTGTGCCACTCTAAAAGACCTGAGATGTTAGCTCTCAACAAACCTGGAGACATCAAACCCAACCCAACAGGGCGGGGAAAAATCCCTCCAGCTGAATTATGAATTACATTTCCTATGTTTGGAAATGGCAGATATTATTTTTAGGACTCCCATAAAACCTTAACCAAACCTATGAAGTTCAATCTTTACATTCAAAGGAAGGTCACATGCCATGTATGGACATCAGGTTTTTTTTTTTTTTTCTTCTCTAAAACCCAGTGAAAGGTTCAATTAAAGTCCTCAGTGAGTTTGCAGCAAAACCTTTGATCACAGACTCTGTCACCACTTCACATATACAGACAGTATGATAGGTATTTCAGACATAAAGAACAAAATTGGTACTGCAAAGTAGTGTGGAAACCACACATGCTGCACATACACACGCAGATTGCTTTTCTTAGGGCAGGGCCTTGGGGGGTGTTCAGAAGCTTGTTTGCAAAATAAAAATGTTCCTTAAACATTTCTTGTATGTGTAGCACATCAGTATTTCCCAACATAAGTGTGTGGTCCAAAAGCCACGTTTAAGGAAAAACAGCCCAATTAGAACCCAATGGAAAACAGAACATATGTTTCTCAAATGACTTTGAATTGGACTGTCCATGTGAACTTGTTCTACAAATAATGAAGATGTCGTACAGATGCACCAAGTCTTCATGGTCTCAATGAACTATCTTTCTGTTACAGAAAAATATGCAAGTCTGCAACAAAGCTATATATATAGAATAATTTTTTTAAAAAAATATCAGTCTTGTTTTTAGGCAGTAAAACTTCCCAAGTTCTTTCTGCCTTTTCACAAACCTAATGAAGCCCATATTTCCAGGTGCTGATAATGCCTTGCAAACAATAAACCACGTCTCCAATTTAGACTTCTACCATGGCTTCTTAAAATTATCTCCTAGTAAGTCTATTACAAATATAAGACCTTTATTCTACAAAACAACTGGCCACAGAAGCAGGAGGAAGGGAAGATATCTCACAGATATCTTGCTTAGTCTTCACAGCAGCATCCAGGTAGGAACTATAATTATCTTCTTTCAACAGAGAAGGAAATTGAGACTTAGAATCTCAGCAGCCTGCTCTGGGTCAGACCTTAGCAGGCAACATCTCACTTCCTTTTCTCCTCGGGGGAGAAAACACATACTAGAACCTTGCCTTGCACCCTACTCCTTGGATCCCAAGATAAAATGGCAGATGACAGGTCCCCAGTACATAGCATGGAGCCTAGAGATAGCACTGTGGCAAAACTGCAATGCTGCTCCGAAAATCTGGTCTTATTTTAAATGACATCACTGGGTATTCCTAAACATGTTCACTTATCATTCTGACAGAAAAGCTGGATGCCATAATACCAAACATTCAATCCCACATAATCCCTATCCCTGGTTCATTTTTCTCTGTACCACTTTCCTTGGGAAAAGGATCAAAATGCCCTCTGCAACTGCTATCTCCATGCTGGTGACCGTTTTTCCCATAGTTCTGCCTGTGTTACTACTGTACTTCATTCCCAACTTGCTGACATCAATTCTGGCAGCACAAACTCAGTGTGTCCAAAACTAAACTTGCTAACTCTTCCTCTTTCCCCACTTCCAAAATGCACTCACCACCTATGTTCCAAGTTCCTGCTCAAAGGCTCTACATCCTATGGCCTCCTTGCTTATGTCTTAAGCAAAGGACTACAGTCCCACTGTTCCTCCATTGGTCTCCTATAGAAGTGTCCAGGCTGACTTCTGTAACATTAGTTATGCCCTTGATGTGTACCCGAGGGCTTGTTAAGCCACAGACTGCTAGGCCCCAGCCCAGTTTCTGATTCCTGTCCCTCAGGATCCCCACTTGCTCCTGCCACAGCTCCTCAGAATCCATGCTTCCCACACCACTGGTCTCCTTCCTTCCAAGTCACACAAATTCTTGCTGAATCTTTTCATCACGGAGCAGCATAATCCTCACGAAGTCTGACATTTTCGTCTCTGATAACAAAGTGTGGGCAGTACTGGCTGTGACCACTAAGGTATGTTCTGTCAGGGTCAACCAAAACAACCTGCAAAATATATTCTGGTTGGACCCTAAATTTATGCAATTTTGTAGAACACAGAAAGTTAGTTTCCAAATTCTACAGTGACGACAAATTAGTTTTATATATTGGAAGGGACCCTCTCCTTAGGCTAAATTTGTTACCAAACTCTGATGGAAAGGGGGAATTACTAAGAGGGGAAAAAAAATAGCATGTCCTCCTAAGAATAGGGCAAAAGGACCCAAGAAGAAACAAAACAGTTCATTTTGGTACAGCACAAGCAGGTTCAAGCCATCCTCCCAAAAGCAGCTTAATAAAGAAAACTTCAGCACACTGTGCTTTATTGCACCTGTATACCTATGTGGCATCTGGTTTATGTAGATCATAACCTGTTCTGTTCTAAAAACAGTTTTACTAAGGATAACAAAAACTAGTTCTATGTGTACTGTCTTTCATGAGGTCTTTCCTTGAAAGAACCTTTTCTGTCTTTAATACTGCCTGCATGTGAATGATTTAATCAGCGTGAACTTAAGAGATCCGGAGAGTTTATATTCTCACACGCTGTCATTTATAAACAAAGAGAGGCTCATCCGCACTAGCCAACCATCAGCTCTCACATCTAAACAACTTTTCAAAAAAATGCCCCTGGATTTTAAGGCACTTTCCCCCATGCCACCTCCTTTGATTTTCATAAGAAGGTTTTGAGGGCAAGCAGCACGGCCCCACTGTCTCTGTCTCAGGTTATATGGCTAACATACAGCTAACACGAGGGTTGGCCATAGACAGCCACCGATGAAACCATAGGCAACCTGGACCACAGTGTTCCTGGAGTCATGTCTTTAAGGGCTTGCCTTAATCTGTTTTCTGTAACAAAATATTTGAGACCTAGTAATTTATCAAGTAGAGAAGTACATTCAGCTTACAGGTCTGGAAGTTGAAGTCCAACGCTAGGCAGCAGCCATTTGAGGAGGGCCTCATGCTGCAACATGGAGAAAAAGTGAGAGAGGCCTCCAAATGTTCACTTTATAACAGTCCACTCTAAGGTAACTAATTCTACTCCCTTGAGATCTGCCTTAATCCCTTTTAGCAACCCAATCACTTGTTAAAGGTCCCACCACCTCTCAACACTTAGACAAGGACTAAATTTCAACATGAGTTTTGGAGGGGAAAACCACATCCGAAGCACGACCACACTGATAAGAAAAAAATATCTCCAAGCCAAGCACAATGACACACACCTGTAACCCCAGCTATGTGGGAGGCTGAGGCAGGAGGATCAAAATTTGAAGCCAGCCTGGGCAACACTGAGACACCGTTTCAAAATAAAGTAAAAAGGGCTGGGGTTGTAGCCAGTGGTAGAGCACTTGTATACCATATAGCTAGTTCAATCCAGGACCCAGCCAAAAAAAAAAAAAAAAAAAAAAAAAAATTTTTTTTTTTTTTTTTAGGTATTTTGATTGAGGGGAAAAAATTGAATAAGACCCAATTCTTGCCCTCAGAGTCAACCCACTTGGCAATATGCAAACAGAGCAAGACAGGGTGGCATGATGGCAAAGTCTTTGGAGTCAGGCTGACCAACCCACAATTTAAATCCCAACTCCACTGCCCTTTACCTGCATTGTGATCCTGGGCCTATTCTTATTCTCTCTGAACCTTAGATGACAGACCTCAGGACAGTTGTAAAAATCAGAAATAATATATGACAAATGCCTAGGGCTGTGTCTAGCATAAAATGTGTGTAACAAATGGACTCAAGTGTCTCATATCTATGTATACAGGCCCAATTATAGGTTTTAAAACCCACAATTAAATGTCGGTGGAATGACTTAAATTTTCCACTTTTATTTAGGATATCAAAATGATAGTACTTAATTGCCAATTAAAATATGGGGCTGACAAAGAAAGAGAAACATGAGTCACAAATTTCTGGCTTCAGTGACAGGGTAGAAAGTAGAGCCAACAACCAAAATGGGAAAAGCTGGGGAAAACATGGGGGTGAGAGGTTGGGAGAAGGACAGGAAGCAGATGATAATTAAGGAGGAAATGAGTTCAGTTTCGATATCCTGCATTAAAAGTGCCTATGAGTCATCCAAGTAGAAATGTCCAAAAGATTGAGATGTGGTGAACTCAGAGACTTGGGGGTCATTAATGTGGGTAGTGACTGAAGCCTTGGAAGTACTGAGATTCCCAAAGGGGCTGAGCAGACTAAAAAGAAAGCCACCAAGGATGAACTTGGTCCAGAGAACCTGAACATATAAGGGCAGACACAGCAGGACCCAGGCAGAAATGAAAGGAGGAAAAGCAAAACAGTCACTAATGTACAAAAAGGAGCCCAGAGGGAAGGCTTCAAGTGAGGATGGGCAGTACTATCAAGTGCTACAGAAAAATCCTGTCCAGGGCTACAAAGTGACCACAGGGCTCAGTGATCAGAGGCCACCTGTGACCTCAACAGAAGCAATTTCTATTGTTGAGGCAAATGAAATCAGATGATAGGCCATCTGTGAGGTCCCTCCTAAACTCCAAAATTCTTCAACTTCAAAACTGAACCTCACTATTCTCCAAAACCAACCTCAGATAGCAATGAGTTGTGAGGTTTTTCTTTCATAGAGAGGGAATTTGCAACACAGAGACATGTTTAAAAACCACAAAATCATTCAACACGATCTTTGCCATTAAATTCCTATCTACTTCCGGATCCCAGGAAAGGAGAAAAATCAGCTAATTCTCTGGCACACAAAACCTGGAGAAGGAAAAAAAAGATAACTTACCAAATAAATATCCTGTCCAATAAATCTCTAAGGAAAATATACTTCAATTGCTGTTTCAAGGTTAACTTTGAGAAATTTGTTAGCACAGGTAGAAAGGCTTGGTTTCAATATGCAAATCTCCTGTAAAAGTCTATTTCAGCAGATTTCCACCTGGATTTCTAAATAAAAATAACTCTAACTCTTGCTGAGTTTAGCAAATTGCTCTTCAATGTCATTTATCTCATTCTTTGTACAGTTATAATTGTAGAAAATGTTGTTCCCATGCAATTTTAAGTTATAAAATGGTTCTACCATACATATTATGGTGCGAGGAAATGTTTGGCTTGGCAGTATAAACTGGTGAAACTAGTTGGTGAAAAAAAAAAAAAAATCCCCCAAACATCTGTTCAGACTAAGAAAGCATTTGTTTTCAAGTCAACTCCACATACAAATATTTTTCAAAAAGTTAAACATCTCAAATATTAATAGCTAGAACATCAGACACATACAGCAAAAGGCTCAAACATTTGAGAATTCTGAGATGTGTTCCCCTAAAAAACTACTTACTCTTTGTAGGCACCACTGAATCTAAGCTGGAGATTTAACTGGATCCTCTGGTAACTAATCTGATATGTGGCCATCCGTCTTAACTGAGGATACACACTATCTCCTCTTAAGCTTTATTTAAAAACATGCACGCACAAACCACATAGCAGGGACTCCACCCCAAATTCTCATTCAGCACACGTAGGGTGAATCCCAGAATTTAAATTTTTACAGCTTCACAGGAGATCCTAATATGCACTCCCCAGCCCTGCCCCTGTTGAGAAGCTCTGCCTTTCAGCAGGATCCCCCAGAGTTTTAAAGAGCAATATAGTCACTGTTCCTTATGGATAAGCAGGATATGGTAGGAGAGGTGAGTGCAGAGAATGAAATCCTGCTGGCAAGTCACACAGGACAGATAGCAAAGTGCACAGGCACATCACATGGATGTTTCAAGAACTCACAGAGGAAGACTGGGGATGTAGCTCAGTGGTAGAGAGCTTCCTAGCATATGCAAGACCCTGGGTGGATCTCTAGCACCACAAAAAGAGAAACAAAGAAAACAACTAAACCAACCTCACAGAGGTTTGGAAGCAGCTTTAACCTTGACCACCAGCCCTCCATGGAAGAGTATTTTCAACACCTACAGAAGGCTCTGGATCAGCCTTCATGCCCACAATCAACCATTCTGTGCTGGATGTCCTGGGAGTTTCCACCTGTTTCTCATGTGGGCAGCTGAGTGCAGCTGAATCAGTTCTCCAAGCTGTGCTCACTTCACATGGGATTAGAGATCCAATTCTCAGCTGATTCTCTCCTTGTAGGAAAGAAGGGAACACTTGAGTTGTCCTCCGTGCTAACTACTGGAGACAGGAAACGCAAATAAGAAGGACTGGATGATGAAAGACCTCACCCACTAGGAGCCTCCAGCGTCCCTTTGCCCCCTTGAAGTGGGTACTTCTGTTTCACAACTTACACATAAGCCACAGCCCAGGCTTAGAAACCTTTCTCAAGTTTTTAAAGACACACAGCTAGCAAATTTCCTCCTTGAAACCCAGTGGGGTAGAGGGTTGGGGCGACATAACTCAGAATATTTTAACAGGAGTCTGTAGGACAGGCAGGAAGAGGACAGGAGCCGCCAGCTTCAACTGACGCGACCTCAAAAAGCCAAATATGAGGAGCACCAGAGGTAAGGCAGGTTGTAAACATTCCCTTATTTGTCTCCTGGGAGCCAGAAGGAGGCTTGTAATTAAACCTGACAACATTTTTCATAGGAAACAAGGAGCAGGAGAATGACAGTGATAAAAAAGAGATAGTCAGTCTAACTTTATTAAAAATCTGAAGGCAGGCGCAGTGGCGCGTGCTTATAGTCCCAGCTACTCGGGAGGCTGAGATAGGATTATTTCTTGAGCCCAAGCATTCAAGGCCAACCTAGGCAGCATAGCAAGATCCCGTCTCAAAAAAAAAAAAAAAAAAAAAAAACCTGAAAACATTTTAGCAGTTGTATGACTATGCATACAAACTATAAAACAAGATATTAAAGTTTTCAGTGGAAAAGTACTAGACACTATATAAAAGACACCCCCCCCAAAAAAAAAAAACTCTGATATGGACACAATAAAATTAGAAAAGCTTTGAAAGGAGGTGGTAGAGCTTCCACATTATTAATAAGAGTGCTTTAAGAGTGAGATGTTGGGGGGCTGGGGTTGTGGGTCAGTGGTAGAGTGCTTGCCTTGCATGTGTGAGGCACTGGGTTCGATCCTCAGCACCACATCAAAATAAATAAAGATATTGTGTCCATCTACAACTAAAAAATATTTTAGATGTTGGTTTTTAAAACCAACTCATCTTTGAATAAAAGCCTGTTTTACTTTGCAAGCCTTCAAATTTTTTCAGAAAATACCCTCTCTGAGAACACTTGACCTGTCCTAGCACGGATCCTGCATCAGCACGTCCCCCGGCTCTTGCTCACCTCACCTCACCCCAGGCTCCACCTGCCTACAACAGACAGTGGCTGTCTCACTCACTCCAGGCACCTGGAAAGCTCCTCCAGACAAGCGGACCACAGAAGGCTGGCAGGAGAACTCGAACAAGAAAACCTGTCAGCACACCCACCCCAGGGGACAAACAGCACCGAGTTCAGTGGAAACCCCACGGCAGCAGAGTTGGAGAGGAAAGGATACCAGGGTGTAGGAAGAGCGGACACCTCTCTACAGCCAAGCTGACAGGGGACACTTGCTGGATCTTGATCAAGGTACGATGCAAAGCCAGGTTCACCTCCACTCCCTCAGATTCTCTTTATATAAGGCCAGTGGGTTTGTCGCCCAATCCATGGTGAAAGGTTAAGGAGCCCAAGAGCCTTTCTCCAACCCTCAAACCCAAGTCCTCCTCGCCAGCCTTTGCACCTCACTCCTCCAAGCCCCAGCTCTCTACACCACTCACCATTCCCAAACACACTGCCCAGCTTCACACCTTTGCTGTCCTGCTTCTCACCCTGAAACACCTCTCTCCCACTGTGGGGACTGGTCATCCTCCAGGCACTCAAACAGCCTCAGCACCAAGTAACCTCATGGGTCTGCACTCAAGACACCAGGCTGCTACCTATATTTTAGCCTTTGCCTCAATCTGCCTTGACTGCCCTCCTGTTTCTCAAGGGCTGGTCTGA